AGCTTTGCAGGGCAGCATTTTGTTAAGGCTCGGAGAATTCTTGGGCTCAAGATCAAGGACTTTGGACTCCATCTGATCCCAACAGTGCTTGCATATGGACATTTCACCCAATACACAACCCTGATCATTTTGCGGGGGATTAATACAAGCAGCTCTGAAAGGTCATGGTCTTTGCCTTTTCCAGTGCTCTATGGTGGTCTCTTTCCTTTGTCTCTCTCCCTCTCTTCAGTGGTAGCCCTGGAATGCCGAAGCCATGACATTTTGCCTGTTGTATGTTTCCTTTCATATCTCCCCAACGTACCCCAAGGCTGACACAACTGGTGCTCAGTATCACTGATTTACCTTGCCTTCCCCTTTACGTGGCTCACAGAACCCCAAGCAGGATTATCCCAGTGATCAATTCATTTCCCCAGGCAAATATTTGACTTCTTTTTATCATGGAGAATGAGAGAGCCATAAATCCTTGCTGCTTTTTCTTTTTTTACTTTGGCCTCTAGAAGCTCAGTCACTATCTTAACCTAGGTTTCTGCTACCATTTTTTTGGTTTTTCTCTCCCTGCCTATGATAGGCTGGTATTTCTCAGGTTCTTCTGGAGAGTCCATTGGCTTCTTTGATTTCCAACTTTCTCTATTTTTCTCTTCTGCCACACGAACTCTTTCCCTGGCTTGGAGACACTGCAGAATATAGTGCAACGTATCGTTTCAAGGTGTTGTGTTCAAATCTTGGTTCTGCTATTACTAGCAGACAAGTTACATAACAGCTCAGAGCTTCGTTGCCCTTCTGTAATGAGAAAATAATGGCACCTACCTCAGCTGGTGGGTGAGACTTAAAGGAGCTAGCCTTACTGCTGAGAACCAGCAGTTCCTGATCCATGGTGAGCACTATTTGTCAGGGTAGTTATTATCTGAACAGGCCTGCACTGTCCCATTCCAGGTTGGGTACTGGGAAGGGGCTGTTTGTGTGGAGTGTTCTGTGTTAGTGCTTCTCAAATGTCTGTGTGCCTGTGAATCACTTGGAGATTTGATCAGTTGATCAGGGTGGGGCCTCAGCCTGCAGCTCTGATATACTTCCACACAATGCTAGCACCCCGGGGTTCAAAGTTCACACTTCAGTCAACACCGACTCTGAAGTTAGGTTGGGCAGTGGCTGGGATCCATTGAGATGATTCAGAGGGGAATGGAGGAGGTGAAACTGGTGCCCCCTGCCCCCACCACAGCCCTGTCTGGTAGCTCTAGGGAGGCGGGACTCTGAGCTGAGCAGAGAAAAAGCACTGTGGCTCTCTTACTCACGATTAGGCCACCAGCTTTCAGAAAAGCCCAGTAAGTATAGAGTGAAAGAAGGGACCAGAAACCCATTAAAGGAAGGACTGAGGCTTGAGGATGGTGGACAGGGCTCTCTCCGCCTGGGAATGGCCCTGCCCCCTCTAGGACTCTCATGACCCCATATTCTGCCCTATTAGCCCAAACCCTCACTTTGAACTGACGACAGTTGGGCCTGATGGCAGACTTTGTGCATCAGGGGCCATATTTCCAAAGGGATCTTGCCTGCTTTCTCTGTGTTCCGGCCAGGGCCTGTGTGGGATGGCTGGAGAGAATGAGCCCGCCAAGCCACCAAACTGCCCAACTGCCAAACCACCTGTGTCCTGGGAAAACTCCGTGGTCTCCCTAGGTGGAGCCAAAAGATGGGCTTCCTCAGACTTGTCTCCTCCCCCTTCCATCTCTTTCCTGGTTCTGAAAGTTCCCTGTGTGCAGCTTATGACTGAACTTAGAGCCCTAGGTGTGCCAGGCTGGGCACGGATGCATACGTATGTGGGTATATGTGTGCATGCTGTGGAAGGTATGCCTCTGAGCGCGCCCATGCACACGCATGGACCATTGTTGGGGTCTGCGTGTGTTGTGGTGCTTCAGTGTGGGATCACACTGTGGGCCTGTGCTCCTTCCTCCCCGCCTGTGCTTTCCTATGACAGCAAACACAGATCCCAGACACTGGCAGGATGAGGTGCTCAGGGTGCAGAATGGGAGAGCTAAGGCTCAGCAAGAGGCCCCAGCCTCCCCTGTCTGAGCACCACCAAACCTGCTGCCAGCAAGCCTGAAGCTTCCCTGTGGAATCTGAACTAAATCCTGAACAACAGAAGCCAGGTATCTCCTTTTAGACATCAGCTCCAAGGAGCAACTAAAGGCCAGCGGGCAGTGCTTCGGGTGCCTGGGATGCACACAAGACGGTTCCCATAGGGCTCATCACAGGCCTCAGAGACCTTTCACAGTTCTTGCCCGGTGTGGGTAGGAATAGCTCCTCTGTTCTACAGCTGAGGAAACCACAGTTCAAGAAGGGTGAGACCCACCTGGGGGGAGGGGCCAGGGCAGAATGGAAAACTCAGCCAAGGCCAGGAGGGGGACTGAGACAGACTGAGCCAGGCTCCAGGAGGTGGGGCTCTACAGGCCACCCGGATGCTTGGTGGTGATCATCATCCCATAGGCCGTGGGTATAATCTGTAAAGCACTTGCCTACTGTTATCAAGGCTGTAGGGCTCCTGCTGCTGCTGAGGGAAGGAGGGTGCTGTGCAGGGGTCACTGTCCACTGGGAACTGAGAGGCTGAGGACAGGGGGGCTTTGACCTTGGGCCCCGGTGACCACTCTTTGCCAAGAGGAGCCCAGACCCAGGGCCAAGCCGGGAGCACCTAGTTAATCCTCTAAGCCTTCCTCCTCTTATGTAACCACTTTTGTTCTGGGGAAGTCGAGAATCTGTGCTGTCTACAAACCCCGCAACCCGCTCCTGGCATCTGGGCCAACCTGGGATTTTGACAAGAATCATCAGCCTGGGAAAACACAGGCTGTGGTCAGGGGCTTGCAGGGTTCCCAGGAGTGGACACGTGTGTACAGCATGTGCACAGAGGCAGACACGTGCAAATACCCAAGGGAACACACCTGACACATCTGCACACCCAAACATGTGTACCCCTGAGAAGACATATGCATCATCCTCCAGGACAGGCCCATGTGTGGCTGACAAGCCACAGACAGACATGTGGACCCCACACTCACACCTGAGGGGGTAGGTGGATGCCCTCAGTTACCTCAGGCCCACGCTTGCCCCTCCCAGGCTTCCCATTTTGTTGCTTTCCATCTTCCCCTCTCATCTACTCACCACAAGGAGAGAGTAAGGGCCCTTCTGTCAGGTTGGGAACAGAGGCAGCTTTGACCTTTGTGAAGAACAGGTTCTGTGGACTTAGTTTCCAGCAAGGGAAACGGTCTGCTCTAGGGATCCCCCACAGGGCCCCAAATGTGAGCTTGTAACAAATCCTGTCATCCAGATAGGGCTTACAATTTGCAAACTGCCTTTTGCCGTGTCATGTCTTATCCACGCCCTGAGAGGCAGGTGTCTTATTTTCTGCATTTGACAGATGAGGAAATTGAGGGCCAGAAAGAAGGAGAGATATGAGGTCACACAGCAAGGTGAGGTAGAGTTGACCCAAACCCTCCCATATTTGGGCTGGAGGAAAGTGCTTTCAGCCTCCTGGGGCCTATCGTACAAAGAATTCAGCCTGGTTCGGAGCCCAGAGGATGGGCAGGCTGAGACTACCAAGTGGGGTCCCTGTGGGGACATTTCACACCCCTGCCTCACTGCCCAGCACTCCACTGTGAGGTTCAACCTTCATGCATGTGCCTGGGGAGGGAGTCAGGGGGGAACAAGGACACTTCTGCTTTGCTGTGTTACCCAGGCAAGTCCCTTCCCCTCTCTGGGCCTAGCACCCTTTCCTCTTCTTTTTTTTGTTTTTTGTTTTTTTTGTTTTTTTTTTCCAGTACCAGGAATCAAACTCACGACCTCGCGCTTGCCAGGCAGGCGCTGTGCCACTGAGCTAAATCCCCAGCCCCCATTTCCTCTTCAATGGGATGTTGGGCTTAGTTAGGGGATGTGCTCCTCTCCAAGCCTGCAGAGGGCTTCCCCAGGGCACGGAATGGAAGGCAGACGCAGGATGCTCTCCACCAAGGCAGAGCCTGGCTCAGAGTAGGGACTCAGGGCTTGGGCCAGGGTCTCCTTCAGGGTGCGTGACCTTCTGCAAAGAGATATGGGGAGGGGACCCAGCAAGTCCAGGTCAGGCCTGTCCCATGGTCTGAGGCGGCACTGCTCAGCTCTCTGTTCCTTACCTTCGCTTAAATTTCTATATAGCTCTTATCACTACCCAATCTGCTATCTGTTAACTTGTTAGCTACAATAAACTCATCACCCCTGCTCCAATGCAGGTGGCTCTCAAGGGTAGGGCCTTTGTTTAATGCCCTTGTGCGCCTTGAACACTTCCTGAAGAGAACAGGTGCCAGTAAGTATGAGAGAGAAAGGCTGGGGGAGAGACAGACACAGAGACACAGAGAGAGGAGGAGGAGGAATAATCTTAAAGATGAGAAGGGCTGGCCCAGGCTTATCGTGGACCAGAGGCTGAGCCACCCTCGCGGCCTTCTGTTCATCTGGCTCAAAGATGGACTGGAGCTGGGGAGGGGGACGGTCACTTGGGCTCAGTCTTTGCCTAAAGTCACCCTCAACCTGAAGATTTATCCTCGGAGCCACAATGGGATCAGGCCCTTAAACTCAGAGTCTTCATCCCTGTTAATGGACCTTCCTGGCACTGCTGAGAAAGCCAGGGTAATTGTTCCCTCTGTCACAGATAAGCAGGAACAGGACTCTCATCAGACTTCAGGGAGACCAGAAGGCTAGGAGGGGTCATCAAATGCATATGCCTACTCTGTGCCAGGCCCTAGAATTCTCTCCCTCCATCCTCCCAGCAGCCTATGGGGCCAAAATAATGGCCCCCACACTTTGTGTGAGCATGCTCAAGGCTGAGGTGACTTGCTTCCAGCTGGGCAGTGGCTGAGTCAATCCTGGTGTTAAGCACTTGAGCAACAGGGTTCTCAGAGTCACATCCTGGCCCTGCTGTTTGCCAGCTCTACGCTGCACCAAGTTACTTCCCTTCTTCAGATTCTCAGTTTCCTTATCTGCTGCTTCCCCAGATTTCAGCACAAGGCAGCCTGTGGCACAGGATCGACTGTGCAGGGGCTGCTCCAGGAGTTGAGATTCTCTGCAGCATTCATGGACCACAAGTGGAACACTCGCTGAGCCTGGGTGAGTTCTTCCGGTTGGTGCCCAGGTGGACACCCTCCTCTGGGTGTGACCATGGTCACATGGTCCACTCACAGCGACAGGGCGCCTGGCAGGCTTGGGGGCTTCCTCCACCTGCTTGTGTCTGGGGCCTGTGGGCTGCACATCATGGTGGACAGGACAGGAGTGAGTGGGGTGGGGACATGGGGACTGGGCTGTGCCTCGGTAAGGAATAGAATAGGGGGAGAGGATTTGGAGCCACATAGCTCTAGATTTGAGTCCCAAATGACTCGGGACACTCTTCCTCTGTGGGTCTCAATTTCTTACTGTGGAAAGTAGGGAGCAGCAATGATCTTCCCCTAAATATTTGGAAGCTGTTAAGTGTAGTGTGCTGGTTAGCCTCCCCTGGGAAGGAGGAGGCTTGGTGGAACAGGTAGGAAAGATGATTTGGCCAAATGGAAATCTGCACAGGAGGCCCCTGGGAAGTCTCTTCTTTCTGCCCTGTGTCCAGGTGTGACTTGTTATAAAGGAGAGAATCAGGGGAGATGAGTATATGCTGGGGAGTGGGGTCAAACCTTCCCTGGAGTAGCCTGGCATGGTGGCATATGTCTGTAATTCCCAGCAACCTGGGAGGCTGAGACAGGAGGACTGCAAGTTTGAGCCTGGCTTGGGCTAAACTTAGTGGCTTAGTGAGACCGTGTTTTAAAATAAAGTATTTTTTAGAAGGGCTGGGCATGTGGCTCAGTGCAAAAGCCCTGAGTTCAATCCCTCAGTATAGAAAGTCAAAAACAAAAACCTTTCTCTGGAGTTTCTGTTGCCGTTCAACTCTGCTGACCCCAGCACAGGATAAGTAGGCCACACCGCATGCATTCACCCAGCCTCCTGAAGGTATGCGGCATTCACGTGTCTCACCAGCATCAAATAGCTCCTAAGCCAACTCAGGGATAGTCTCTTCTCTCCTAATAGCAAGTGAGATGAAACAGGAGAAGGCTTGGGGCTGGGGATTTAGCTCAGCGGCAAAGCGCCTGCCTGGCAAGCGCAAGGTTGTGAGTTTGGTTCCTGGTACCAGAGAAAACCCAAAAAAAAAAAAGGAAAAGGCTCTTTGTGCAAAGTGCTGTGCTTTTGAGATACATCTACATGTGTGCGCAAGACCTTCCCCCGCAGCTTGTGACCATGTATGCAACCCTTGCTTTGTTGGGGGCAATTCTTCTCTAAAATTATCTTTTTTTTTTTTTGGCATTTCCTCACTATTGGCTTACCAGAAAGGGAGGGAGACTTGGTCCGGAAACCTAGCAATTGTCTCTGAGCCTGAGCCTCTTGCCTCATCCTGTGGCTGTCCCTGGAGACCTGGCCTAGCCCGAGGGTCAGGAGCCTCCTGACTCCTCTGTGCAGCTCACCTGCCATCCACTTTCCCTCAGAGGATCCGTGCTGGCTGCCTCCACATCTTTGTCCTACTGACTCTTCATAACATGCCAGTGTTCTCTAGAGATGCTATTATTGTTCCCATTTTACAGACAAGGAAGTGAAGGCTTAGTGAGGGGAAATGGCCTTCCTGGAACACAGAGTACTTGGCCAACCAGCAACAGTGCTGGAGATTCAACTCCTAATGCACCCCAGCAATGATATTCTTCACTGCTGTGACCTACCCAGTGGGCACGTGTTGGCTGGTTGACTGAATGGAAAAAAAAATGGAAGAGTTAACAAATAAATCCCTCATTCAATATTGAGTTGAAAGAGAAGGTTAGCAATGGCTATCATTTATTATTTATTGAGCTCCCATGATATGCCAAGTGTTTGACATAAGAGTAAATACAGGTATGATTGTTATTCCCATTCTGCAGTGGAAAAAACTGAGGCTCAGAGAAGATTAAGCATCATATCTAATGTGGGGGAGCTGTGGTTACATTTGTCAGACTCCAGACCCCAACTCCGAGTAGGGCTTTCCTGGTTCCCTCCAGGAGGGGTGAGTTGAATCAGCAGAGCCTGGCAACAAGTGCCTGCTCCAGCCAAGAGCCCGGGGCCAGTCAAGAGAACACACCACCACCTACATCTGCTGCCCTGGGGCCATTTCTCCATTTGCCTCCAAAGTGGGTTTCTATTTCAGTTTCTGGTAGGGATTTGGTGGCTCATGCTCTGGCTCATGGGCTGGGGACTGAGGTCTAAAAGTAAGAAATCGACAGTAGCTGAGACACAGCCTGGCATCCTGACTCGCAGGGAAGCCCTTGTTTTTCACATCTGGAATGCAGCAGAGGCTGTTCTGTGGCACCAGGAGGCAGATGTCAGCTCCGAGTGAGGGAAAACATTGTCTCTGTCATGACAGAGGACTGGGACGCATCATTCAGCTCAGCCCATAGTTCTGGAGTTCCTGTGCTTTCTAGGGTAGGGCAGCCTGCAGGGAACACTGCACTCAGCCCAGGAAACGAAATCAGAGTTTGAGATCAGAGCTGGGTGTGAATCCAGACACCAGCATTTGCTGGCTGTGTGAACTTGAAGAAGTTATTGAACCTCTTGGAGTCTCAGTTTTCCCATCTATAAATGGAATAATAGAACCTACCTGACCAGCTCATGGAATGGATAAAATAAGATCATGTATATTACATTACTTGTAAGTTCTTAGGAAGTTTTAGTTCAGTTCCTTTGTACCATAGAAAACCTTTCATCTGAGGCAAGAGAAATCCCCTCAGGCAGCGGCTAATCTGATGATTGAGGCAAAACCTGTACAGTGTTAGAACCCACACCGTAGATTTGCCAGTCCTTGACTTTGTGGTACACAGGTGCAGGTCCCACGCCCTCACCTTGGTTCTCATCACACTTCTCACGTGGACGCACCTCCATACCTAGGAAGAGAAGAGGCACAGAGAAGCTACCATTTAGCACAGAAATGCCTCTGCTGTAAAAGGTTACTGGGGTAAGGCAGATAATAGATGAAAAGTGTGACAGCCCCCAGCCCAGGTTTCCTGACCAAGGTGGAAATCTCCCCTTCTGATCCCTGGATTCACTGGGACGAGTCACTGAGCACTTGCCTTGTCCCAGGCCCATCTCAGGGCTTTCTTATAGATTTATCTAAGTTAATATTGTAGCTCACATTTAATAAGTAGGGAAACTGAGGCTCAGAGTGTTAAATAACTTGCTCAAGGTCACACAACTAATAGAAACAGCCTAAGGATTAAAACCAGGACAATCTGTCTCTGAATCACATACTCTCCCATTTGAAGGGGTTCCACAAAAGATGCTAGGCGTGGGAGCAGAAATACATATAATAAAATGGAAAAAAATATGACTGACAACACAAAAAAGGAGCAATTAGAGAAATGTAAGTCAAAAGCACAGTATACTACTTCACATCTGCCGGGATGGCTGTAATGAAAAAGATAAACAATAAAATGTGTTGGAGAGGATGCAGAAATGTTAGAACTTCATACACTGCTGGTGAGAACATAAAATTGGAACACAATCAGGCAATTCCTCAAAAAGTTAAGCATAGAGTTACCATACGACCCAGTAGTTCTGCTTCTAGGTGTATACCCAAGAAAACAGAATATATACATCCACTCAAAAACTTGTACACAAATGTTCATAGCAACATTATTCATAATAACCAAAAAATAGAAAACCTAAATGTCCAACAACTGATTAATGGACAAAAAAAAATACAGCATACCCATAGAACTAAATGTTAATTCAGCTATGAAAATGAACTCTGGGGCTGGGGATATAGTTCAGTGGCACAGCCCCTGCCTGGCAGGTGCAAGCTCCTGAGTTCGATTCCTGGTACCAAAAAAAAAAGAGAAAATGAACTTTGATCTATGTTATAATGTGAATGAACCATGAAGATACTACCCTACATGAAATAAGCTACACTAAAAAAGGCACATGTTGCATGATTTCACTCTGTAGGAAATGTCTAGGGAGGGCAGGCACATTCATAAACACGAAAAGGAGATTAGTGGTGTCAGAGTGGTGGAAGGAAGAAAGAGGAATGGAGAATAACTGCTAATGGGGATCAGGTTTCTTTTGTGGTTAATGAAAATACACTGAAATTAATTAGTGATGATAGGTACAAAGTCTTGTAAATATACTAAAAACTATTCAATTTTACACTTTGAAAGGTTGAATTTTATGTTACATAAGTTACTGTTATGGCTTATGTCCAGATGTCCCTGCAAAGCCTCATGTGGTCATAGGTGGGGCTTTTTCAGAGGTGGTTGGAGCTAGAGTGTGTGATTCTGGGATTGATTCATGATGCAATGCTATGATCAAGGGCACTAGGATTAAGGGTGTGAGTGCTACTCACCCTAAGTAGCCTGGATAGGATAAAAGGGATAGCAAGAGCTGCGGTTATCTCTTGGTTGCTTTGCTACCTGCTGCCCACCATAAGCTATTTCTCCTCTATGACACCTGTCTGCCATGCCACTCTGCCTTTGAGCCAGCCAATTATGGGCTGAAACTTCTACAAACTATGAGCTAAATAAACCTTTCCCCTTTTAACTTTGGGTGTCCGGTATTTTGTCTCAGCAATAAGAAAAAGTAACTAAGACAGTTACACCTTTAATTTTCTTAAGTACCAGGAGCAGGGATATAGAAGTTACATAGAAGACTACTGTTGAAGCCAACTGTGGTGGCACATTCCTGTAATCCCAGCACTTAGGAGGACTGCTACAAGTCCAAGGTCAGCCTGGGATACATAGTAAGTTCAAGACCAGCTATGAACTACATAGCAAGGCCCTGTCTCAAAAAACAAAGCAACAAAGAAAGGCTATTGTTGATCCTAAGGTAAGTAAGCAGAAAGTTGACTGAGTGTCCTAGAAGCTGGAGGGAAAAGGGAAAAGGTGCCTCCAGAAAAGGAAAGTGTCATTGCCCCCTCCTTCCAGCCCCTGGCACTACCATTCTACTTACTGTCTCAATGAATTTGTCTGCTCTGGGTCCCTCATATAGGTACAATCATACAGTATTTGTCCTTTTACATTTAGCTTAAGGCTTATTTCACTTGACATAGTATTTTCAAGATCCACCCATATTGTAGTGCATTGTCAGAATTCCATTTCTTTTTTGAGGATGAATAATAACATATTGTATGTATATAGCACATTTTGCTTATCCATTTATGTCAATGGATATTTGTGTTTTTTCTATCATTTGGCCATTGTGATAATGTTATTGCTGGTGTAATATATTTGTTTGAGTCCTTGCTTTCAATTCTTTTAGTTGGAACTCTAGTAACGGAATTGCTGAATCAGATGATAATTCTGTTTGTTGCCATTCTGTCTTTAGCAGAGACTGTATCATTTTGCATTCACATCAGTAACGCAAAGTGTTCCAATTTCTCCATCTCCTCCCTAATACTTGCTATATCCTGATTTGGGAGTTTTAGGTTTTTAAGTTAATAGGCATCCTAATGGGTGTGAAGTAGTATTTCCTGATTTTAGTTTGTATTTTCCTAATGATTAGTGAGTGGATGTTGAGCGTCTTTTTATGTGCTTATTGGTCATTAGTGTGTCTTGTTTGAAGAAATGTCTATTGAAATCCATTGCTGATTTATTAATTGGGTTATTTTGTTGTCATTGTTGAGTTGTTATAGGAACTCTTGGTATAATTGTGGATATTAATTAAGACCTTCAGACATAAATGATTTTAAAATATCTATTCTCATTCTGTGAATTGCCTTTTCACTCTGGTGATAATGTCCTTTGATGCACAAAGGTTTTAAATTTTGATGCAATTCATCTATTTTGTTATTATTGTTCCCTGTGTGCTTTTTTCTTTTATTTCTTTTTCTTTTTTTTTTTGTCTTTTTCAGACAGGGTGTCTATGCCGTTCAGGCTGGCCTTGAGCTCACTTTGTAGCCCAGGCTGGCCTCGAGCTCACAACGATCCTCCTGCCTCAGCCTCCCGAGTGCTGGGATTACATCCCTGTGCTTTCAATGTCAGTTGTGTTGTGTCATTCGAATGCAATTAGCTTGGGCTAGAAAAAGTATATTAGTTCATGTAAATAAAAAGTTCAAGGTAAATCTAGATCTGATATAACTAGATCCAGTAGTTAAAGGATGTCATCAGCATTTTTTTGCTTTGTATCCTTTCTCCTGACTTTCTGCAGGGTTACCACATTCTCACTTAAGATCTTTCTAGATGCTGGGGATATAGCTCAGTGGCATAAGCACCTGCCTGGCAAGCGCAATGTCATGAGTTCGATCCCCGGTACAGTAAAAAAAAAAAAAGATCTTTCTAGAAGTGTCAACCTCCACGGTCCTCACAGCTAGTTATCTAGCAAAAAGAAGAGAAAATCTCTCAGGCTTGTCCACTCTAATTGGCTGCCCCTGAATCAATCCTTGACAAGGGTCTGGATGAATACTGTGAGTGGCCAGCTGTGGGTTAGGAGGCCTCCTGGAATGAACAAGACTACCACTGAACAGGGCAGAGGCTTTAGATACGAAGAGACAACCGACAGGAAAACTTTCTTCCCCGAAGGAATCTGGGGATTTCATGGGCATCCAGGGTCAGAAAGCTCTGCTTCCTGTCCCAGCTGGCTCTGCCGCTTATGAGTAAAGGGAGCCTTTATGAAGCCCTGTGACTGGTGGGAGGGGCATGCTGGGGCAGGCTGGATGTAGAAGGGCTGGATTTCCCTGCCCTGCTGTGTGGTAGGCGCTGAGAATGCGGACTATAGGTTCATAGCCCCGTATCTGTGCCTTTGACGGGTGCTGCCTGGAGCTAACCTTTCTGTGCTCTGGTTTCCTCATCCTAGGATAAGACAGAGATTTTTTTAAAAAGCCTTGCCTCATAGGGTCCCTGTGAGGCTTGAATGGGGTAACGCCCACTTGGCACACAGTAGGTGTTCAATCATTGTCTCATCATTACTAGTAGTTTGGGCCTCTTTTCCCACTATAGTTGCAGTACACTGGCAGCCCCAGCTCTGCTCACTACCCTGAGGTCCTCACTCAGCCCCTGCCCTCACTGTTCACTTTTCTGAAACACCTTTTGCCCCCTTATGTGCTTGGTCATTTCATTGCGACCTCCTCCCTTTCTGTAGAACCACCCCTCCCAAACTAGATGCCGTGGGGTCAGGCACTGATGTCTCCCTCCGGGTTCTGAGTCTCCATGTATATGTCCCATGTCCACCCTGAGCTCCTGAGGGCAGAACCTGGTTGGCCTCTGTCACTGGATTTTCAGGGGAGAGTCTGCAGCTACAACTGTGGGGATGGGGCAGGCCAGGGAGCAAAGGAGCACAACTGGTTGCGTGCAAGGGGCAGGGCTGGGAACAGAGAAGTCACCCAGCTGGCACATTGGCCATTATCTTCAGGCCCTGGGAAGCTATAAAGAGCCTGAGAAGGGAAGTGGGACAGTCAGATTCTTGCTGAGCAAGGGTCCCTGTGGCTGCAGAAAGGAGGGGTGGACTGACAGATTCAAGAGTGGCATACAAACAGCTTGGTGACCGATATAAAGCGGGGCTTTGGTTTCCTCCAGGCAAGGGCCAACGAGCAGGCCTGTCCCCATTGGCTTTCTATGGGGAGACTGGAGGAGAACAAGTGCCTAGCTTGGTCATTTTCAACAGCTAGTAGCAGTATTGCCCATGTCATCCCATCTGTGCTCTCAACCTATCCGCACCCCAGGGTAGGGTCCAGATCAGGCCCAAGACCAGACATTTAGGGCCTTGGCCAAGACTGCAAGCTCCAAGGATGGAGCTGGGTTTCTGCACTGCGAAAGCTGGTGGGGCTGAGGACCGGGGCAGAGACTCAAGTGAGCTGTGCTGATGACATGTCTGGCTCCCCAGGCAGGGTGGGCCTGGTCCTTCCACCGAAGAAAACCAGATTCACAGTGCTCTGGAGCAGATGGCAGACAGTTCCTTCCTGTTTTTCCCTCCTCAGTCATGCCTTGCAGAGACCCAGGCTGGGATACAAGGGAAGTGACTGTTAGGGACGGTGCTGGGCACAAGGGCCAGGCAGCACCAGACACTGCTGCCGCTGGAGCTCCACCCTTCTGCAGCGATATGTCCTCAGGATTCACAATCCAGCTGCCCTGCCACCCACTCCAGTGCCCACACGGCTGCACTATCTCAGGGCCAAATGCCTCTTTTCTCTTGGCCTTTGTTTCTTCTGCCGAAAAAAGGAAGAGGTAGGAATGGCTGAAGAAGAGGAGAGGGCTCCCCGGGCCCTAAGGCTCCCTCCCTAGGGGGAGCAGGGAAGGCCGCCTGGGCCTGGCGGGCAGAGTGAGTCATCCTTCTGGACTCCCCCAGTCCCTGGCTCCCTAAGCCGTGCTCCTGCTTTCTGAGGAGGGGACAGCCCGACTGGAGCAGTGTGCTTGGGATGGGATGCAGGGGCTCCTGCAGGCCTGTAGTGTCCTCTTGCCTGCTCTGGGCCTTGCTTCCCATCTGTGACCTGAAGGCTGGACAAAGGCATTTTTCACATCCCTACCCCCACTGTTTTTATAGCACTCTGGCTGTCAGGGCCTGTGGAGAGGTATGTCGAGGAACGGTAGGAGACTGCTGTGAGCTTGGCTTTCAAGGCCCCCTACCCCTAAGTAGCTTCCAGAGCCTCCCTGTCCATGCCCAGGGTCCCATTTTATGTCCTATATTCTCTGACTGTCCTATATTCTCTGGACTCTAAGCATAATCAATCCATACTCCATGCAACAGCTCAATAGACCTCTTAAATCCCAAATTTGATTCTGCCTCTACCCGGGTTTAGAAATCATTAAGAGCCCTCCTCATCTGGTGCCCAAAATGCAGAGGCCAGACGTGTAGCTGGCATTTGGAGGCCTATGGGGACCTGGCTCTGATAACCTCTCAGCCTCTCCTCTGGCCAGGCCCCCCAGTACCTACAAACACCAACACTGCAGATGGCCCGGCCCTCCTATCTCCAGCAGGTCTCTTAGCCTAGAGCACCTTCCCTTTCCTTGTCCACACACACCCAAAGAGCCACCTCCTCCAGAGAGCCTTCCTTGATGCCCCAGGCATTGTAGGGGCCTCCTTTGTCTTACCTGAGACTTTGATCTCTATCTTCATCTGTCTTTTCCACCAGCTGAGTACCCTTAAAGGACAGAGTCCAGAGCCCAGAAAAATCCTTGCACACTGTAAGAATCCCTGCAAAAAACAAACAAACAAACAAACAAAAACAAAAACAAAAAACCACAAACTGGGACTGGGGATTTAGCTCAGCAGCACAGCACCTGCCTGACAAATGCAAGGTTGTGAGTTCGATTCCCGGTACCAGAAAAAAAAAAACCAAAAAAAAAAAAAAAAAAAAAAAAAAAAAAAAAAAAAACCCAAGAATCCCTGCAATGCACATCAGATGAATGGATGAATGAAAAGTGGCAAAGGAGACCGTTTCTCATGAGTTTACCTGTTCTGTGATAAAATAATGAGCAATACAAGGAGGTCCACTGATGGCACGCTTCCTATGGGTCCGATATTGGGCTCATCAAGTCCATTATTTCACTTGAACCTCCAACAATGCTGCACAGTTTATAATCAGAGACTCTGAGACTCAGAGAAAGGTAAAGTCCCTGCTCATAAGCTGCAGAGCCAGCATAGGACCAGGTCTGTTAGGTACCACACTTTGCAGAGGATGCAGTGATGGGTGGCGGTGAGGTACAAATGCCAGGAACAGGTCTTTAATCCAAATGCATGGGCTGGAGCTTGAAGATCTCTGGGTGTTCCAGGGTGGAACCCTCAGAAGCAGTGCAGGGGGCAACTTTGCTCTGCCCCTCACCTGCTCATCTTCAGCCCTTCCTATTGTGACAGAGACCATTGATGTTTTCTCAAACCAATGTCATAGTTACGTAAAGATACAATGGATTATTGAAAACCATGGTGAATGTTTAAATTTTAGGAATTTATCACAGCACAAGACACATTGCTATTTATCCCCTTCAAAATATTCCTCCTTACTTTGAACACAACTACCCTCTTATTCTTGCCATTTTCTGAAGCAGTTCTTGATGTCCTCTTTCCTGAATGTCTTTAGGACAAAAATATATAGTGTGACCAAAAATATATAGTGAGTGTTGTTGACCAGTGTAGCCCAACAGAAAGGTAGACTCATAAAGACATTGCAGTGTGTCCTCATCTACTTCATTCACCAGATCTGTACAACTTTTGGCTCTTCCCCAAAGTCAAAATGAATCTGTAAGGTAAATGTTTTGAATTGATCCAGGACATCAAGATAGCCACGATGGTACAACTAAAGCACTCACAAAAGAGGACTTTCAGGGCACCTTCCAGGCAGAATTGAGGCCCTTTCCTGAAAGCCACAGAGGCGCTCTCCTCCCCTAGCTCTGCACCAGCCGCAAGGGGTGCTCAGGATGCCAAGACCCAAGTCATCTCCTGCCTGTTCTCCCACATCACGACCTGTTACACCATATCACCTAGATTTCCTCATGGGGAAGCTGAGGTGGTATTTTGTCCTTGGTCTCACTCACTAGCCTCACCTAGGAGACAGGATGCCCACTACTCTTTCCGGAGCTGGGCTCAGAGGCTCCCTGTTCTGCCTGGGCTTAACCACTTGACCTAGATGTGTGAGACGTGCAGGAAGTGGCGGCTCCCTGGAACTCTGATTGTGAGGAAGAGGCAGAGCTGGGAAGGCCTGAGTGGGTCAAAGAAGAGGTTATGCTGAGAGGGCAGAGGTGGAGGAGGGGAGAATAAGCTGGGAGAAGGAACCAGCAGCACTGATACTGAGGAGAGGAGAGGAGGAGTGGCCCCTGGAGGGCTGGGGGTGGGAGTGTGGAGAGAAGGAGCAGCTGGCTTCAGTAGGGGACAGGAAGTTGAGGGCAGTGCTTCTGTAAGGGATCTCTGCTCAGAAGGGGGAGTTGAGGGCTGTTGGGGTTGAGGGTATAAGGCTGAAAAGAAAGATAAAGCCAAGGCTTAGAAGAGAGGGGAGAGAAGAAGCCCAGGACCCGCAAAGGGTTGAGGGGCCAGCCAAAGAAGGCAGCGACCTGGCCTATGGGCTCTCAGGTACAGCCAAGTTATGTCCTCCAGCCGCACAGCAAGGACAGAGCACTGTGGGAGCCCCATGCATAGGGCTGCAGACAGACCAGCGTATGCCCAGGAGTCTCACAATCTTGGGTGGCAGTCCAGGCAGGCTGGTAAAAAAGGTAGAGAGGCCAGGGAGGTGCTGGGCCAGGGGAGGCAGCCCCAGAGGCCTGGGGCAGAGTGACTGTGCAGGCTGGAGGGCTGGGCACTTTCAGCAGGGCAGGGCAGACAGGGTGGTGAGGGGTGCAGGGAGCCCCTCGGACTAGGCAGGAGGGAGAGGAGGCAGCCCACTCCCACCAGGTCACTGCCTGTTCTTCCGCTCAGCTGGGACTATTTACAGCCCAAATCTCATACACAACCAGACAGAGGGAGCCCCAAGGGTAGCTTAAGAGCTTGTGGCCCCTACATTCCATCTCTACCTGATAACACGTAGTGTGAGTACAAAGTGCTGCTTGCTGTATAAACAGTACTAAGCCAGGTCCCCTATGACCTGGCCAGGTTTCGGCCCCTAAGCCTGTGTGGTTCCTGGAGGCATCCTTGGAAATTCATTCATTCACTCATTCATTCATTCATTCATTTAATATGTATTTACTGGGCACCTATATGAGTCAGGTAGTGTTCTGGACACTACAGATGCATTGATGAGAAAAGCACTGCCTGACAGGATCATAACCCACAAGAAAAACTCAGGCAGAGTAGGTGGTCTGCCCTTCCTGATGTCAGGGCTAAGGGATCCAGAGGGCTCAGACCTGTAGCCATTTCCTTCTTTCCCCTGATAAATCTTCTCTATCATCAGTTAAGACGAAGATCTTTTTTTAAAATTTATGGATGCAGGCAGCACCAAGGACAGAGCCCTATGCCTCACCTTTACGGACAGATTTGTTCACCCAACATGTCCTGTGGCTTCTTGGTTGGGAACCAGAATCTGTGTGGTCTCTGAGGCCCTAAAGGCAAAGTCGACCTTGTCCCCAGTTCCTAACAGAATTGGAGAAGGAAGGGAGGGTGTCTGATGTTGATCTGTTTCCTCTCCTGTCTCAGAAGCAGGGTGTCACGATGGATTTGCTGTGCTTTGGCAAGTTCCTAATCTTTCTGGCTCCAGTTTTCCTGCAGGGAAATGTCACCTCTCTTCCCAAGCACAGACTATCATTCTTTAGCTCTGCAGCCTGGCTCACCACTGACTCACTGAGTGTCTCCAGCCTTCTGTACCCTGTTTACTCCTATGTACAGTGGGAACAACACACCCCATCACACAGGATGTTTAAGAGCAAATGAGGGCCAGGGATATAGCTCAGTGGCACAAGCGCCTGCTTGCAAGTGCAAGGTCCTGAGTTCGATTCCCGGTTCCAAAAACAAATAAACAAACAAAAACAAAGAGCAAATGAAACCGTGGTGCAAAAGGCTTAGTTCAGATGCCCAGTACCTTCAGAGCAGCCAAGAAACTAGCAGCCAGTAGCTTAGAAAAATGAGGCTTAGAGAGCTGAAATGACTTTCCCAGGTCACACAGCAAGTGAGTAATGAATCTAAGACTGCAACCCAGGTTTTCAGCTTCCTATTTGTCCTGCCCAGGAACTACAGAGATGACACAGTGGTTACTCTGGGAAACTCATGGGAGATGAAATGGCTAGAGGGGCTCTCCTGGCTGCCCCATGGGAACTGATTCCCACCTGGCAGCCCCTCTGCCCTCACTTGCCTTCTGCTGGCAGCCATCAGATAAGTGACCGGCTCCAGCTTCCCATTCAGGGACATCTGGGTTCTGGGACCAAAGCTGGGAGCCCAGGGCTGTGGAACGAGCAGTGGGAGGCATGGGGTGCTGATCTACAGGCTTAATTTCAAGCAACAAAATGGGACTTTATCGGCTCTCAAAAATCCAGTGGAAGGTCAGGCTTCAGGTGCAGAAGGAGCCAGGTGCTCCACAGTTCTCAGGAAACTGTCCCCATCGCTCTACTCTGCACACTGATTTTAATGTTGGATGGTGTCTTCCCTGGTGGTTTCTCAAGTGTCTAGGACCCAGCAGACACATAGTTCAACTGGCTGCAGCAGCCTTAGCCTCATCTCTTACCAGCTTTGCAAACCCAGTGGAAAACCTGTCTTGTTGTCCAGCAAAAGCCTCAGAATTGACTCCCAGGCACCTGGTGAAGGTGGCTCACCCCACCCCAAGGCAGCCATAGGGCCTGAGGAACCCACTCCTCTGTCTTCGGCTAGCCCACCCTTCCCAGAGTCTCAGGACTCCAAGGGGAAGGAGGGGACCTCCCAAAGGAAGGATAGGAGGCGGGGTGGCCATCAGGAGAGGGGATCTGGGAAGTGTGGGGAAGAAGCTGTGGACAAGCAGAACAATGACTGCCTGCAGTGAGGCACCACCCTGGACCCCGGCCATTGCTTCCTGCCAAGGTCTGGAGCCTGGTCTGGGAGGATGGGCGGCTCCTGGAGGCACCAGCCAGGCAGCAGGCTCCTTCTCAGAAGCAGATCCAAGGGGCCTCCTCCCCAGGGAGACAAAGGACTGGGAAAGCCTGGGGTCCAGGCGGGGAACCTGGCCTCCCACTCTAGCTCTATGGGGCAGAGGTTCTGTGGCCCGGGGAGACTGGAAAGGGGGGGTCCCAGAGCTCCTCCTCAGCTCTTCCACAGCCCCTCCCCACCCTCTCCACAGTGCCTCACAGTGCTCAGTAAAGCCAGATGTCAGAGAGAAAGAAAGAGGGGGAGAGAGAGGGAGGGAGGTGTGCGGCTACCGCTACTGTTGCCTGGGTACCAGAGGCTCCAGAGATGCATATTTCCTCTTTGCTTAGCCCAAAGAGAAACCAAAAGAAGGACCCCAACTCCAAGCCCCGCAAAGCTGCTGCTTCCCCTTCTTTGCACTCAAAGTGGAGGTTTCAGTTCCCGTTTTGATTCCTGTTGAGCAGGAGAAGAAAGGAAGTGGGAAAAGAGAAGAGAAAGCAGATTCTCTGCCCTCCTGGTCCCCTCCTGCTTGGGTGCCTGCTTCTGTGGCCAGCCTGATACCACAGGTGGGACCACAACTCCTCCAGATGGAGGACTCTGCTCCTGCCCACTGCTCTTGGGCTGTGAGGGAGGCACTGGGATCAGGAACCTGGCCTCAGGCTGGCCCGAGGTGGGCTCCAGGCAGAGGGCATGTGGGGCCAGGGCTGGGAGGATGGTGGGTAACATATTAACCTTGTTTACCTGACTCAGCTATCCCCAAGTCACACAGCAAGTTGGTGGTGGACCCCAGCCTGTCTGACTCCTCAGCGGAAGAAGCTGAGTCTGAACCCCTGTCATCCTGTGTCCTTACTGCTCAGCTCATGGGCCAGGGGCCCAGCAAGGGGATTCCCGGGCTTGGTTTCCCGGCAGGCTGGCCTGAGGCTGGGAAGCCTCTCACCAGGTCTGGCCATGTCTGGCTGCTCTCTGATGGGACCAACTGACAGGTAGTGACTCAGGCTTCCAGCTTCTGCCTCCAGAGAGTCTCCCTCACCCTCTCCCGTCATGAAGGCTTTGTCAGTGGCAGGCTATGCGGTCACCTAAAGGGCACCCTGAGACTACGGCATCTGAATAGCCCAAAGAGCTGCAATTTTGTCAGTTCTTCCTTGGGTCTAAACTCATTGCTTCTGCTGTAGAACTGACCTTAGGGTTGTCACCTGGGCTGAGGGAAGGAAATGGACAGAGGTGGTCCCCCAGAGGGCGAGGGCTTTGCTATTCTCGCTGCTAGTGCACTGGAGCGGAGGTGGTGATTCTCCAGAGCCTCTACCTCAAGTGCGCAGGGTTCAGTCCTGGCCTTGGCGCCGAAGCCCAGTCCCCTCGGCTCTGTGAGGCATGTGGGCCAGGTTGAGAATCTGAGCACAGGGCTGAAGCTTGCGCGGGAGGGGTACTTAGGAGAAAGGCTCAGTAGTCAGATGAACTGAGGCAGGAAGTTGGTCCTCGGACACATGTGCCCATGGCTGTCGGGGCTGTCCACTGGCACCACCTCATGGCCACAAGTCCTCAGTGCAGGGAAGACTTCAGTCCCAGTGGCAGCAACTGAAGCCACTCAGATGTCTAACCCAAATCCAAGGGCTCGGCACCCTTGGGCTGGTACCCCCAGGAAGCCTTCAGAGCTGCTCCCATTCCTGGGACAGACAGTCACCCACCCTGGTGACGGTGGCCATCCTGAAGACCAACAAGGCACTGCTGCCAGGCAGGAGGGCCCCTTCCCCACCTTGCCCTCCAGCACAGCTCAAATCAGGCAAGGGAGGCCCGTGCCCTTAGCTGGCACCAGCAAACTCCTGGCGTAGAACTGAATAAGCAGTAGGTGCTCAATTTGTACACAACTAACTGACCAGGGATTTTCCCACAGTTCAAACCAAACTTCCTCGGTTTGGTCCAAGCTTTAGGCTCCTGCTTGGTTTCTCAAACTTCTGCCTCTAAGGTGGTTTTGGGGTGAGATCAATGCCCTGATTGCTCCTGGATTCCAGAAGTGACCTCAGCATCCTATGGGGTGAAAGGAGGCCTTACTCCCTGTGGCCATTCATCCCCTCACCACGCCGGTGCCCACTATGACTACATTCTACCAAGATGGCTCGGAGAGAACCCGGGCCTCCATCTCCTGGTGTCATGTTCTTTCCCTGCACCACTCTATTCTTACCTGGTTGCTTCAAAAGCAAATCGCCGCGCCCCCCCCCAACCAGGTCACCCTCCTTCAATGCGACCTCCACCCTGAGCCAGCCTCCCAGGGACAGTGAGGAGACACCTCTCCCGCTCTGATTGTCCTAATAGCTCCAAAGTCTGAATTGGTGGTAAGGAGGGGTCAGGGAGGACTTGGCACAGCAAGAAAGAATATCAGTTGGGTGAAGTCTCAGGAACACACACACACACACACACACACACACACACACACACACACACTCCTGATGAGCTCCTTGGGGCCTGCCCAGGAAAGAAGCTGCTAACTGGGAGATGTGGGAGGGGCCACAATATATGGTAGGTGCTCAATAAATACGGAGAAAAGGAACAAGAAAAGGAGAGGGTGAAGAAGCCTACCTAGTGAGTACCCAGTGGATTGCCACGTAGAGCCACAGGGAGGTGAGTGTACTGGTGCAGGAACTACGGAAGCAAGGGAGGGAGGGAGGGACTGCGAAAATGAACAGGGCCTCTGGGCGTTACAGCCGTGTGACTGACGAGAAACAGAGAGGCTGAGGGGAAGGAAAACTGCTGGGTCTGTGGGACTGGCCTTTGACCTCCGGTCCTTTCCAGTCCTCTCTCCCCCTTCATTCCTGTCTTTCCATCGCTGCAGTGGGGGTGGGGTTCTGGGACGGATGCCCTTTCTCTGCCTTTTCTCCGCCTCCTCACTCCTCTAGGCCCAGTTTCCGCCAGGCTGAAGTGCTGGGGGTGGCAGGGAGGAGGTGGACCCTGTAGTGACTATTTCAGTCAAACAGACCTTCCAGGAAGCAGAGGAAGCTGTCCGTCTGTCCACAACTGGAGGTGTCGCAGCCTGCCTGAGAACAGGAGTGTGAGGAGCCTCGGCCCTGGCTTCCCTTTGCCCCAATACACTTGGGCCCACCAACCTGCTGCGGGGACAGGAGGCTGCATGTGAGTGTCCTGCATCTCTGGGTCAGTATGGGGCAGGGTGGATGGGAGACTGGACTTAAGGAGCTGTGACTGGGCAGCAGGCTGGGTCCAGCACTGACCTAAGGCAGCCCAGAGAGTTTGGGACCCCAAGGAAGGATCCCATCCAGCTGGGGGATCAAAAGAGGATGAAACACGGGGTCAGGAGCTCGGTGGACACACAGGTTTGACAGCAGAGATGTTGCTGAATGGTACTGTGTGAAGGGGAGGCTGGAGAGGACATCTTCGTCCCTGGCTGCTGGCCCCATGTGGCCATCTTGGCACCTTGGGAAGAGTACAGCGAGAAGAAGGGCAGCAGCGCAGGCAGAGTGGAGGGGACCTGGCACCCTTGCGACGAAACTCGAGGGCTGGGCAGGAACCTTAAACATCAGGAATAAGGCTTGGGCATCTTTCCAAAAGCACAGGACAGGGGGAAGGATATAGTCAGAGCCACCGAGCCCCGAGAGCTTGGGATCTGAGCTGGTCCAGGACTTAGGATTCAAGAGTGGGTGACGGATGTGAGAGCGGCCAGCTGATGCTCAGGGCTGGGGCCCAGCAAGCCCTCCCTCTGGCAGCCCCTGCCGGGAGCTAGGGTAAAGACTCAGCCTCCAGGGTCCTCAGAAGGCAGACGTGGTGGGGAGCCAGGTGACAGCCAGGCCTGCCTTCCTCACCTGGCCCTGAGGTCTGCCCAGTCTGCAACTCCAGGATCCCCTCCTGGAATGGCCCCTGCCGCCTTCCATGGGGTGGGGGCGCGGGCGGGGGCAGCGGGGGGGAGGTGGTTCCTGGAAAGACCAGTCTTGCCAGGAAGCAGAAGAAGCGGAAAACTGAGGTCTCCCAAAGGAAGGTTCAGGGACACAGCACCCTTCCAGCCATACTGCTCTCCTCTCAGACCCTACCTGCCCCCTCCTCCATGTCCTCACACCTTTTTCTACCCTTGGCAATCTTCCTTCGCCCCCAGCGTCCTCCATCCTCCTCTGAAAAGTCCCTTGTGTCCCGTGGCTCACAGTGGTCTCCCTTCAGGCTAATATGTGTGTGTGTGTGTGTGTGTGTGTGTGTCTGTCGGCAATATCTACATCTACAGACTGCCCTGTGGCCTTGGCTGTCCCACAGGCAGCAAGGCGATGTCTGGCATGTGGAAATGAGAATGAACATGTGAGTGAGAGCACAGCCTGAGTGAGTGAGCGTAGAGATGAAGGAGTGACCTTCCTCCTGCCCATTCTGATCTTGGTCTTCCAGACACACTGCAGGGGCCACTGCCCGCCTCCATGCCTACCTCATCTCAGCTGGGCACACAGAGTCCTCAAATCAGGCTGGAAGTACATCAGGGATCTGTGATAACCAAAGGCGATATGGGGTGTGGGACGCAGACAGAGACTCCAAACCTTCTCATTTTACCCAGCATTTGGGTAGAATAATTTCATTAAAATAAAATTTTAAATTGGGAAGAACATTACTTTTGCTCGAGTATAACTTTTTAAAATTTCTATACCCTCACTTAGCTGGTATATTCATGGTTAAGAACAGCTAACACTTGGTCTTGTACCTCGCACTGTCTTCACAACTGCTTTATAAAGCAGGTACCATAGTAACTCATTTTACAGATAGGGAAACTGAGGTATGGGGGTAAATAATACACCCAAGGCCACACAGCTCACATGTGGCAGGGCTGGGCATATGGCTTCAACCCTTTACTACTCTCTGAGTGCTTTTCATAATTTTTCTAGGCATCAGTTTTTCCCATCTGTAAAATGGGCAAAGGGGAGAACTGGACTCATCTCCAAGGCTTTGTTCAACAGGTCCATTGAATTGACTATAAATTCTCTCTGGTACTACTGATGTGGAAATACCCCTACCCAGGAGTATTCAGAAGACTCAGGAGTCAGATTTAAGGCATTTTGCTGTTGAATTCCCCCAAAACTCAGCCTGAACTAACAAGAGGTGGGAGAGGGTGTCAGATGCAGTGGCATGGTGTCGCGCACCTACTGACCATAAGGCCCATGACACATTTTACTACTGAGGATACAGGCAGAAAAAGCAGTTGACGTGGCCTGGGTTACACAGCATGGCAGTAGGGCACCCAACGTTGGACCCAGGGCTGCCTAGCTCTTAAGCTGCCCTTGCAAGCTCTCCCTCCCACAAGCTGCCTCCTCTGAATCAGGTGACTGGGTTCTGATCCTGATTCTGCTCTTAACGCACCAAGTCCCAGCAGTCCTGGCCCCTCACTGTAAATTTCCATCTCCGTAAAGCTGCAGGGCCTCGCATGGGCTGCATGCCTGTAACCTCAGCACTCAGAAGCCTGAAGCAAGAGGATTGCTGCGAGTTTGAGGCCAACCTGGGCTACATATTGCGTTCAAGGACAGCCTGAACTGCACACTGAGACCCTGTCTCAAACAAACAACATAAAGCTGTGAGCTTTGTCCCTCCGGTTTGCCGTTGGAGAAGCTATTTTCACTCTGGCCACCAGGGGGCACTGTGGAGGAGCGTGGAGCTGCTAGACCTCTGCGGCAGTTTTTGGTCAACTGGAAACAGGTCTTGGGAAACTCCCAAGTCACCTCCTTGCCCTGTTTTACAGATAACAAGGCTGCAGCCAGACAAAGAACCATGTCTTTGGAAGGTGGAGTTCAAGCTGCAGAAGTGGGAGCTATCTTCAGTGAGCTCATGGTGTGTGGACCATTTATCTGGGCTGAGGTACCAGGGACCCCTCTGCCCTGGACCCTGGACCTGGCTGTGAGACAGAGAGGCACCAAATCTACCACTTCTTCTCAGGAAGTCCTCAGTCTGTGAAAGGCAGGCAGGCCGAATATGACCACAATTTCCATCTCCCTTCCCCCCACCCCAGCTCAGGAGAAGCCCTTCATAAGCTTGTTTTAGTGCTTCTAACCTCACAACATCCCTTAGAGGTGCGTGCCACATTCCCCCATTTCTCAGACAGGGAAACTGAGACCCAGAGAAGGTAGATCCCTACCCCCAGGTCACATAACTAGAAAGTAGCAGAAATGAGATTTGAACCCAAGTCCATCTACTTTCACTAACAGAGGAGACATCTGATCAGAGTTCTGAAGAATGAATAGAAGTTTATTAGAAAGGATAATAGAAAATGCATACTAAGAATAAAAGAGGATGGGCCGGGGATATAGCTCAGCGGCATAAGCGCCTGCCTGGCAAGTGTGAGTCATGAGTTCAATTCCCAGTACCAAAAAAAGAATAAAAGGGACTTGAATCTCTCCTGAAGTTGAGCTTTATTGTATTCCAAGTTTCCTTGAAATTAGAGTTGTGTGAGGCCTCCATGGTATGGAAAGTATAAGAAATGACAGAGTTGATGCCCCAATTGTTCAGATAGGAGGATGAAGGCCCAGAAAGGGGTAGGGCCTGCTTAGGGTGGCCAGGGAGCACGTCACTAACAGGTTGTGTATTGTCTCCCCAGCCTCTCCAAATGTAGGAAGCCCAGTTGGGCAGTCATGGAGTGGGACAATAGCACAATCCAAGGCTTGAGCTTGCCTCCCACCACCTGTGTCTACCACGAGGACTTCAAGCGTCTGCTGCTGCCACCGGTGTACTCAGCAGTGCTGGTGGCTGGCCTGCCATTGAACTTCTGTGTCATTGCCCAAATCTGCGCTTCTCGCCGGGCCCTGACCCGCACAGCCGTGTACACCCTAAACCTGGCCCTGGCCGACCTGCTGTATGCCTGCTCCCTGCCCCTGCTCATCTACAACTACGCCCAAGGGGACCACTGGCCCTTCGGGGACCTCATGTGCCGCCTGGTTCGTTTCCTCTTCTACGCCAACCTGCACGGCAGCATCCTCTTCCTCACCTGCATCAGCTTCCAGCGATACCTGGGTATTTGCCACCCCCTGGCCCCCTGGCACAAGCGTGGGGGCCGCAGGGCTGCCTGGCTCGTGTGTGGCGCTGTGTGGCTGGTGGTGACGGCACAGTGCCTGCCCACAGCCGTCTATGCGGCCACAGGCATCCAGCGGAACCGCACCGTCTGCTATGACCTGAGCCCGCCGGCCCTGGCCGCCCACTACCTGCCCTACGGTATGGCCCTCACGGTCATTGGCTTCCTGCTGCCCTGTGCCGCCCTGCTGGCCTGCTACTGTCGCCTGGCTCGCCGCCTGTGCCGCCAAGGTGGCCCCGCAGGGCCTGTGGCCCAGGAGCGGCGGGGCAAGGCAGCCCGCATGGCCGTGGTTGTGGCAGCCGTCTTTGCCATCAGCTTCCTGCCTTTCCATGTCACCAAAACAGCCTACCTGGCAGTGCGCTCTATGTCAGGTGTCCCCTGTCCCATGCTGGAAACCTTTGCTGCTGCCTACAAAGGCACGCGGCCCTTCGCTAGCGCCAACAGCGTGCTGGACCCCATCCTCTTCTACTTCACCCAGAGGAAGTTCCGCCGGCGGCCACAAGAGCTGATACAGAAACTCACGGCCAAGTGGCAGCGGCGGGGTGGCTGAGTTCACCAGCACTGGGCCTGAGGCCTGGATGCTGTCACGTTCACTGTCACAGCCAGGGCACCCCACCAACCCCAAACTGTGCAGAGAATTAAAATTCAGCTGGGTGGGCATAGAGCAAAACCCCTCATAGTTCCAAACTTCATCAACTATTTATTGAGCCCTTTCTCAAGACCAGGCCCTCTGGACACAGAGACCAATAGGCCTGGGCCTGGCCCTCCAGAAGCTCCCGATCAGCCAGAAAGAGTAAAGAAAACCATGTTAAGCTGGGTATGGCAGTACAAGCCTGTAACTCCAGCACTCCAGGAGGCTGAGGCAGGAGGACAGAAAGTTCAAGCCCAGGCTGGGCAATTCAGAGGCTTATTGAGACCCTGCGTTAAAAATTAAAATATGAGAAAACGGTTGGGGATGTAGCTTAGTGTGAAGTTCCTAGATTCAGCCCCCAGTGCAGAAAGAAAGAAAGAAAGAAAGAAAGAAAGAAAGAAAGAAAGAAAAGGTGAGAAAGCCAGCAAGCCATGCTAAGCTGCTCACAGAAGTACAGTGTGACTTGTACTGTAACAGAGGCTTTGTACTATACTGTACTTTGTACTGTAATACATGCTTTGGAATCACCAACGAAGGCATGAGGGAAAGTAGAAAAGGGAAGTGAGAGCTTTCAGGAAGAGGCATTTAAACTGGGTTTTGCGGGATGAATATGGGCTCTCTGGTGGGAAGGCATGATATTCCACTTATTTAGTAAGCCTTTATTGAGACCTTGTACTCAAGCCTGAATAGCTTTGAGGTCCTAGAAAAAGAAGTTCTAGTCATGCCCTATTCCAGCTCCCAACAGCTGTAGGTGTAGACACTGACACAGTGATATCAGAGCTGTGACCCGTATCACTGCCCACAGGATGCCCATGGCCTTGTTCAAGCAGTCAGGAAAGACTTCTCTGGGGAGGAACCATCTGAACCAGATGTCAGAGGCTAAGTGGAGGCTCGGCAGACAGAGGTGGGGAGCACTTTGATATGGCCTGGGCCAGCCTTCTTCTGGGCTCTGCCTTGGACACTCAGGAGAGGGCTGGGAGGAGGTATGCGGCCTCCTGTGTGTGAAAGCTGAGGAGACCAGAGCTGTCCCACAGCTGGCCCCAGATAAGGGCAAGAGCTGTCCAGGTACGGCAGGTCATGGAGCTCAGCAGAGGGAGGAACCAGAGCAGCTGGCAGAAGCAGCAGCTCCTGGGGGATGGCACTGTGTGAACCAGAGGGCGAAATAAATCAGCATGGCTGGGCAGCAGTGAAGCCCGGGGGGGCTGGGTGTGTGGAAGGGGTGCCCGGAAAAGGAGCTGGGTAGGGCCAGAGCATTCAATGCTAGGAAGAGCCCAGACCTCACTTTTGCTTCATCTGCCTCCCCCAAGAAGGGGAAACAACCCTTCAACCCTGCTTCATTCTAAAAGAAGCCGACAGCTTGAGGAGACTCAGGGCCACCAGGAGGCTGCTCAGGAAGCTCCCACGACTGGAAGCCCAAGGTCACAGGGCAGTGCCCTGGCTGCGTTCCACCCCTGCTCTCTCAAGTCCCCCATTCCAACCTGTGAGTACGCAGAAGGCAGCTGGGGCCAGCTCCCAGAGCGGCCTCTCAAACCCAGATCTGAGCAGCACAAAGCTGAGTAAAGACATCTTTACTAACGGTCCCGAAGGTCCCGAAGGTCCCTCGAGCAGGTGGCAAAGGGGAATCATACAGCCGCAGGGAGTCCTCTTCCCTGCCTGCCCTCCTCCAGATGCGCCATCACTGCTCCGTGGGGTCACCCTCTCTGCTCTGGTTCCTCCTTCCTCCTCCCAGCCAGCCAGCCCTGCCGCACTCCCCCTTACTCTGTAGTCCTCACCCCATCCCCTCTTCCAGACCTGTTTGCCCCAAGTGGAACAATCCAGCCTGCCCTCGCTGCTGGTACCCCACACAGACCTGCAGTAAGCAAGAGAGCCCGCCAGGCCAGGAGTCCTCCACTGCAGGAGACAGAGTGGGCAGAAGTGAGGGCGGAGGGACAGGGTAGGGGAGGGAATATGAAATTTAATATGAAAGTATGCAGGATTTCTCTTCTAGCCCTTCCTAAGCCTCAGGACTGCCTGCAACAGGGGCATCCAGAGCGGGGCTCTCGAGAGCTAAACTTCCTAACCATGTCGGGGAGCCTGTTTGCAGCTGGAAGAGGAAGAAGGAAAAGCAGGCTCAGCCCCCCTCGAGATCCACTCAGTGTCCTTGCTGGAGAGGCTGGTGGTGTGAGCAGAAGAAACATGAATTCTCTGGGCCACAGTGAGAGGGACCTGTGAGGCAGTAGAAGACAGGCTGCTGCAGATTCCCTGCTGGGTGCAAGGTTGCACCATGCCAGACAGATGTTATCACCTTGCACTTTTGGGGCAGGGGCAGCGGGAGAATCACAAGCAGAAGACACAGGCCTCTGTCCACAGCCCAGCAGAGCCCTGTAGGGAGTCCCAGGTGACTGGCCCACCTGACTAAGAGCTGTGACTCTGTGGTTACTTTGCCGGAGTGGAAATTGTGGGTCACGGGTAAATTGCTTTCCTAGCTTCTCTCTGGGAGAGTTGCATAGAGGGTACAGGCTCCACAGCCAGTCTACCTGTGTGTTTATCCTGGCTTTACCCAACTGTGTTACTCTAGAAAAGTTATTTGGGAACCTCTTTGTTCCTCTCCGCAGCCGAGCAATGGAAATAATGATGATGCCTGTTTTATAAAGTTGGTGTGAAGATTAAATTAATATGTGCAAAACAGTACCTGGAACAGTGTCTGGAACATAGTAAGCATTCTGTGAATGTTTCCATCTGAATTATTTTGTCCTTTTGGAACACAAGTTGCTCCAAAACTTATGGACTAGGCAACAGGGCGCTTAAAGCAGGATGTTGCAACTGTTTCTCTTTCTCTCTTACCGAGGAGGCAGCAAAGCTCATCACACTTTTTTTTGAGAATAAAAACCATAACCCATAAGCCCTTTCTGTTCCCATAGAAGGAAAAACCATTTATTACATGCCAGTATCAAGGCCTCCAAGTGCTGTTTGGAGACTTCAAGTCCCTCTTTCTCTCTCCCTCCCTTCATCCACTTCCTCCTCCCCACCCTCCTCACTTTAACCCAGAACACAGCAGTGATAGGTGGGGGTTGGGACCTTACCCGGGTGTGCTCTGCTCCCCCTGGGGTGGGACATACAGGGAACACAGACAGGAGTGAGAAGATAGTCTAGTGAGGCACTAGAGCGAATGATGTGGGTTCAGAGGGATCCAGGGCGACTCTCCAGGGCTTGGGGTTGGGAAAGACTTCCTGAGGGATGGAGCAGGGCGGCTGGCCCTTGAAGGATGGATGTGATGGAGCTGAGAGTTTCCAGTGTAGGAGCCAGCACAGGCAAAGGCTGGGGGGTGTTGGAAGCAGGATAGAAGGGTCATAGCCTGAGCCTGAGAGCAAAGGGCTTGGGGACCAGTCCACACAAGTACCAAGGGGCCATGATAACGAGAGCAGAGGCCAGCAATTGGGCGCTGTGGGTTACAGGGACCAAACAATGTGCGTTATACACATTTTCACCTTTGTCCCTTACAGCATTTCCTGCAACTAATGGGAGTAGGAACTGATTTGCTAAGGTCATACAGCCTTCCTCCAGCCCGGGTACTCGATCCCTCTACCTACCTTCCCTCCCTTCCCTTCCTTGATCCTTCATCCCAGTGCCTACCTTCCCTGCCAAGTCCCAGTAACCAAGTCCTCTAAGAAGGCATGGCAGAGGGGGCTGGCTGGCTGCCAGCCACAATATTGGACACATGGCCTCCTAGAATGAAAACTTCATTTCCCAGGCTCTCTTGCAGCTAAGCACTCCAGGTCACTTCTTCCTGGGTATCAGCAAAGTGCCCTAAGGCAGTTTAATATGGGGAGGGAGGAGTGTCTTTGAGATAGGTGATATCTTTTCCCACACCTCAAAGCCTTCTTGTTTCTTACAAAGTGCAGGGTATAGCTGGGGCACTATCTTGGACCATTTGGGCACAGGCCTTCTGTGTCTGGTAAAGCAAGAATCTGGGACCAGCGTGGGTCTCTAACCATTCTAGTTTGGGCTTCTGCACTAGAGAGAAATAAATGGCTTTTTTAAAAAGCTACCAGTTTTTCAGGCCTTTTCTGTCCACAGCCAAAACTAATCCCTCTAGTCAGGTCCTATCCTGACCAGGTAGATGTAGGTGAAAGGCGGGCAGTGACCCCGACTGGGGTGGGAGGTGGGGTCTAAGCTGGGGATGAAGCTTCATCCTGCTAGGAGTTTGGAGTCAACAGACAAGATATTCAGGAAGGCAGCTTACAGAAGATGCAAAGCGTGGGGAGAAGTTGGCCCCAATATGGCATGAGACTGAGGGGTGGATGGCACCCCAGAGGAGAGAGTGAGCAGAGAGGGGCCTTGGCAGAGTCCTGCAAACTTTGACAGTAGGGATCTGGGGAGGAGAAGGAGCTAGTGAGGTGGTGGCCTGGATGGTGGCATACTGGGGCAGTGGCCCTGGTGAGGGAGGGAGGGCTGAAGGAGAGGATGTGGGGCGGGTGGGTGAAGAAGAAGGAAGGCTGGAAGGAAGGCCAGGCTCAGGGACGGAACTTCTAAAACAGAAAACCCTGAGTGTTGGCTCTTGGTACTAGAAGATGGGGAGGCAGATGAGTCGGGTCAAGATTGGGAAGCCAGAGAATCAGGAACCAGGTCTCCTCTTGGGGAGATTTCCGCTCTAGGCAGGAAAGGCTCAGAGGCACAGGATCTGTCGTAGCAAAGGATGCAGTTGGTTCCTTTCTCCCTCAGGCTTGTTAGTGAACATTCTGAGTGCTGTGAGTTGAGGTCAGACCCAGACTCTGCCCAGACTCAGAATCCAGGGGCTTGGAGGTGACACAAGGAAAGATGTCATTTAATAAACGATTGACTGAGCACCTACTGTATGCCAGGCATCGTGCTCGGCAGTGGGTCCCTTCTCTCTGGGAGCTCAGCTGAATGGAAGAAACAGGCAATAATGAAATAAACACAAATTCTTGGATCATTACAGCTGGGAAGGAGTATTAAGGACATAAAGAGAGCCAGCCAGCAAGGAAGGACCGACTAGGGGATGAGAAGTTCATGGAATGGTTGGTGGTCAAAAGACTCTGGGGGCCACTGGTAGTGATGTGACCTGACTTCCTTGGCAGAGAAGATTTCTTACCTGAGGTAGAAGGTTTCTGACCTTACAAGGATGCACTTACTCAGGGCAGTGGATTGCATCAGATTCTGGAACTTCAAGCCTGTTTCCTTACCTGGGATACAGCAATAAAATGAGGATTCCTCCCCCAGCTGCAGGGTACTGAGGATGGAAAGGTTAGAACACAATGCCATAAGATATCAAAACTACTATAACCCACTAGGAGCATGAACAGGAACAAGTACTTCATACAAAAGGATACATGGGCAATCCTAAAACAGTAGAGATGTTTCAGCTCAGCTTGATGATGCCTCCTAATGTTGGACAATGACATTCCTTGTGCCTGAGCACATATGTCCATCTGCCCCAGAGTCACACACCACACTCTGGAAACAGCTGCAAACACCCAAGTGCCCATCAAGACATGGATGAAAGCACTATGTTCCCACATCGGAATATTCCCTGCAGCCAGAAGGAAGCACACTATACAACCACAGCAGTGGGGTGGGCTGGGTAAGGCACAGACTAGAACCTACAGTATCTCCCTGAGGCTGTGCCATTGAGTGAGGCTGGAGGGCCAGGGCTGGAGGGCCCTCTCCCTGGAGAGGGCTGGGGCAGGGCTGACAGCACAGGGCACCCCATGCTGCTCCTGATGGGTGGTGAGCTCAGGCCGAAGGAGGGCAGGGGCAGGATGACCATGACGATGAAGAAGAGGCTGCTGGGGTGCAGAGGGGAAAGAACCCCTACTTCATCAGGGTCTGAGGCCAGGGAAGGCTGGAGAAGCATAGCGTTTGAAGACTCTAAAACTTACCATGTTTTCCTGACTTTGACACTGATCAGAGTTACTTTCCCCGTAGGATTAAATAAAATAAATGAAATACTATTACTTATACATCAGAGGCACCCCCAAACTTTTCAATTATTCAGATGTAGGGTCCAGCATTTAAACTGCACCCGGGATGATGAAAAGGATTTAACAGGTGAGGAAAGGGGAGGGAAGGGGAGGAAGAGGTGACGCCTTAGTACCTGACACAACCTCAGACTCACCAGACTGGGACAGAAGTAGGACAGGAACTCTAGGGTAGATCAGTGCGAAATAGAAGCGTCCTGCCCCTCCCCTGCAAGGAGGTTGGAGCGGCCACAGGTTAGCGTGTAGGTCTGGCAGTGGGAAGTCAAGGGCGTTCCCTTTTGTGTGGAAGGCCAGAGAACGAACAGAACGTTTGAACGACTGAAAAAGTCATACTAACTCGCTAACTGTCCGATTGCAGAGGGTGGATGCAGCTTTACCTGCATCCCTAGGGGGTCCCAGGGTTGTAAAGATTAGCCGGCAGAGGGCGCAAGAGCTGCGTACGCCAGGGCGCCAGAGAAAGAGGGGGTGGGGTCCAGGGCGGAGCTTCTCTTGGAAGGTGGAGCTGGTGGAGGCGTGGTAGCAGCAAAAGTAAGGGCGGGGCATGGCCCCTCAGGGGTGGGGCTTCTATAGAGCTGACTGTGGGTTGAGAGATGCGAGAGGGCAGTGCAGGCCGCAGGGAGGTGGAACGGGTGGCCCCTTTGGGACCCTGCGGGGAGGGACGTGGGCGTGGTGCAGCGGGGTTCGCGCCGCGGGGGGCGGGCCCAAGGAGAGGTGAAGGGGCGGGACGGGGAGCGGTGTGCCCCGCCTACCGCTCCTCCTGGCTTGGGATCCCCCTCCCGGCTCTCGCCAGGAGAGTGTTTCTGCGTGTACCTACCTGAGCGTCGGTGTGTACGAGAGTTTGTGGGTCTGAGGTTGCCATGTTGGAGCCCCTAGCGCAGGAGGTGTTCCCGCGCGAAAGCGGCTGAGCCGCGGTGCGTGCGCCAGGGTGGCTGTGTGTCTGCTAAGCTGACCACGTTCCGAACTTGCGTGTGTCTCAGCGAGTCCTAGGCGGCCGCTCATAACCCCGCGGGACTTCTGCGGAGGGTCGCTTCTGTCTCCAAATGTTCAAGCATCTTGTTTCTCCTTCGGCTCCTCCCCGATTCCCTTCCCCCACCAGGTTCCCAGACTCGCGCGCGCCCGGGAGCCCACCCCCTCTTTTGGGCGCGAGGCTCCGCCCCCCGCCCCCTTTCCTGTGCCACAAAGTTTATTTGCAACAAAAGGGAGCTGCGAGCGCACAGCCAAGGGGAGGGAGCGGGAGCCGGAGCGGGAGTGTGAGGGGGAGGCCGGCCGGCCGCCGGAGGGCGGGCGCGGAACCGAAGAACGGCGCGCTGGGATCCCTCCCCGGCCGGGCCGCGATGCCCTCGGCTGCCCGGGCAGAGGCAGGGGTCGCGCGTGAGGGTCGCCACTGAGGCGGAAGGGGCAGCCCGGGATGGAGCCGCTGCCGCCTGAAGCCACAGAAACTTGATCCGCGACAGATAAATCTCTGCCTGTCTCTTCGTCAGTCTCCCAAAGCCCCGCGCCCTGCGGGTGCAGGACCCAGACCTCGGGACCACGGCCACTGAGCGCCTTCGGAGCGGGGACGGAGGGGGGGGTTGGCCGCGGCTCCCCGAGGCCGGCCCCCCCGGAGTGAGTGCCGCCACCATGGCGGACGGGTCTCCCCGGCCCCCGCTTTATCGCAGCGTCTCGTTCAAACTGCTGGAGCGCTGGAGCGGC